CCCTTCTGATGCTGAGGGGCCCCCCAGTGGTCTGGAATGAGGAGAAGGTGAGAGGAAGATGAAGTACAGAAGAACATCTCCCATCTGCGTTTTAATCAGTCCTGTCCTGAGGTTTTTCATTTCATCTATTTCATTAGATAATGCCTAGTGATTTCATTTGGCTAGAGAATTACACGTTTAAATAGAGGCTGGACATCTCTGCCCCAGCCAAACCCCCTTCATCTTAAAATCAGCCCGCGAGGAACCTGGAGAGGGAGAGCGAGTGGTTAGTGTTTCCATTCCCAACCAGCTCCCTGCCATGACAACTCAGGTGCATTTACAAATCAGTAGTCCTCTAGCAAGTCCACAGAACTCTGGTTCCTTTACATTATGAAACACTTGACATAAAGCCGAGTACCCAAACACTCCTTTATTTTGGCAAATTTGGAGACCACAAAATATGACTGTGAGCTGCCAACACTCACAGGGGAGATTTATTGGTTTTACTGAGCAAAGGCAGGAGAAAACTATTTTCATCTGGATTCTTAGCCACAGCGTCTTCCCACCACAAGGGTGTAAAGTGTCTGCCCAGTATCAAGACTGCTCACCATGGACTCTCATTTTAGAAGTGCAGAGGCAGAGCAGTGAAGCATGTCATCACCTTCCTGCCCCCAGGTGCACCTCAGCTGACCACCTGCAGGGAGGGAGGACACACAGCAGAGGGAAGCATCTCCCTTAGAGACTGTCAGGAGCAACCTGTGGGCATCCGGATTTGGGCCTCGGTTTAGGGGCTGGTTGGAGAGGCAGAGCTTTGTTCTAGGTTAGATGCTGCCATAAAGTGGAGATGATTCTATGCCTGCATAGCACATTCTTCCCCATAAGAATAGATCAGAACAAGAATAAAGCTGGCGAGGAATTAGCAGACGCTCCCAAGTGAGTATCTTGACAAAGAACAGGAAAGGCTCAGTACTAGATAGCAACAGATACTGTTCTTGGTCATACAATAAAAATAAGAATCACTGCTAGTTACTCTGTGTATGTGCCTTACTAATTTCAGAAACCAATCATATAATATTTTAGTTTTTATGCAGATCCTTGTCTAGATCTCATTCTAGACCATGACTCAGATATGTCACCCAAGGCATTTTTTTTTTTGTCCTTGTCATTAAGGCTCAAATTAAGGTGTCTTTCCTGCAATTATCATAAAGTTACCTGAAATAAGACAACCTAGTTATTCCAATCACATTTCTAATGCCCACACTGGGTAAACCAGCTGCGTGGCACTGTGTGCTTCTCAAAGTATCTGTGATGAACAAAGTGTTTGCTTCTCAGCCAGTCTCAGACTGGCTTAATCACATGCAATAGAAACAAAATAAAAAAGCCAAAGACAAAACATCAGCCCCCATTATTTTTTAAAATTCATCATACCCAACACACATAATAAAAATCATCAAACTGCCATAAATGTCTCTAAACAGTTTCACTCTCTGGATTCATGAAGCACACTTTGAGTTGCATTTTCTTAATTAAATTAAATGCATTCTTTTAAGATAAGTTAATTTTGTCTGCACTGCCATCCATTTCAAACTCCCATAATACTTGACAAGGCAGCGTAAGAGAAAAAGGTCAGGAGTTTCGCCCTTGGAAAGGGCCATGCTATGAGACCTCCAGCCTTACTGAAGAATAAATACCTGTGGCTGCTCCCCACCCCCTCCCATACAACAACTTCAAAGGACACATACAGAAAATCAGATCACCAACATCCCTGCTACACCCATCTAAGATGAACCTCATCAAAAAGCTTAAGTTTCTCATCCAATGAGGGGTTAAAAGGCTTTTTCTTCTTATCAGGAGACTGAATCATATGCTTGTTAGAGAATTTTGCATAGGAACTTTCAGGCCAGTAGTGGCTGCGCTTCCCACCAGGACACTGTAGTTGGTGAACACCACAGAGCCTCTCAGGGCATTGGTTTAAATTCCAGATTAACCCTTGAGCACCCACCTTATCTCAGCATCCCTGCTTCCCTCACTAACGTCCAGAGGCCCAGCTTATATCCTTAAATAGCAAATTAAAGGAACAACAATAGTAGAGACATTAAATGATCAGCCAAATTAATCCACATCTTTATCACTTAAAGCATCACTTCATCTTTAAGGACTTACACTGGCCTACACCATTCTGCAATTTTAGGAATCATCCCCGTTTCAAGGTAGCAGCCACTGTGTTCTCTCTCCACTCTGTTGAGCTGCTCTCCAGGACACTCACTGCACCTGTTTCTGCCACCATCTGCATTCTTCCTCCTGGCACACAGCTGCTCTAAGCTGGAAATGCTAAAACAGGCTCCATTTAGGCAAGTTCATGTGGTCACCAGTGCCTGATAAGACCAGACGCACGCTTTTCTTGGATCAAACTCAAGGTCTGGGCCCCTGCTCTTTGCTTAGAAACTGCCCCATCTGGCTAGCATTATGGCATAGCTGGTAAATCTAGTGCCTGCAACACTGGCATCCCACGTGGGCACTAGTTCATGCCCCAGCTGCTCCATTTCTGATTCAGCTCCTTGCCAATGGCCTGGGAAAAGGAGTGGAAGATGACCCAAGCATTTGTGCCCCTGTCACCCACACAGGACACCTGGAAGAAGCTCCTGAATCCTGGCTTTGGCCTGGCCCAGCCCTGGCCATTGCAGCCATCTGGCTAGTAAATCAGTGAATGGAAGATCTCTCTCTCTGTCTCTCTATCCCTCTCATCTTGTCCCCCATAACTCTGACTTTCAAATAAATAAGTTGAAAAATCTTCCAAAACGAAAAAGAAAAAAGAAATTAAGCATTATCAACAACAACAAAAAAGAACCTACCCCACTGATAAAATCTCTAGAGCAGATACTTCCTTTAACCATAATTTAAGGTAAATATGACTTATACACATATACACATAAAATACAGGTTGAGTATTCCTTATACAAAATATTTATAAGCACAAGTTTTATAGATTTCAGACTTTGCCAGATTTTAGAATATTTACATAGATTTTATCTGTTGAGTAAGTCACAAAAAATTCCAGATTTTGATAAGAACTTTTGACCTATATAATATGTATTATAAATACTGCATTATATAATTATATATAAAAGTATATGAATATGTAATATATAACTATGCACTTATACATTTTTGCCAGATATTCTGGAGACATATATTATGGCAGACTAACATCTTTGAGCTCCATGAGGATTACCAATGGTTATTTCTTTCACCATTTCCCAGTGCCTGGAAGAGACTAGCTTCCTACAAATATTTGTAATTTAATTAATTAATGGATCAAAGAATGGAGCATGAATACTTGTAGTATACAAGTTTTAAATACAGATACATAATATTATGTTGACATATATGATGTCGTAAAAGTGAGAAATTAAAGAATAATAATTAAAGTTCATTCACACTTTATATCTATTTCTCCTTCTTCATAATAACCTCTCATTACCTCAGATTTCTGTATACATGAGTAGATAATCTGACATATACAGTTTAAAAAAAATTATTGACTCAGGTTTAAAAGTCATCATAATCACCCATTAAAATGATTTCCCTGCCATTTTCCTTCCCTAAATTGATTTTCAAGCCAGTACACCAATTTTCAAATCTTAAACAGAGGACATAAAAAGTGCATACTTTTATGTCAGAAAAGTTAAAAATAATACTAACATTTTTATTCAGGATACTCTACTCATAAGTGTGATAAGATGGTACCTTTTATATAATTTACATTTTTAATTAGGTTATTATATTCATTCAGGCCATGTTAACCTTTTATGAATAAATGAGAAAAAAAATTAGAGATTTCTTATGTCTCCAAATCTCAGAAGTCTGTCTAGCTCCAAGCATGAAGCTAAAGATCCTAAACTAATGGAATTAAAGTTGGAGACTTGGACCAGGTGCACATATGCTATACAGTTCTCCGCACTGGTTTTTAAAACCATACAGAACATCAAGAGTCAGTACAAGACTGCAAACGTAGTCTAAAACATAGTTTTAGCAGTGTTTGTTAAAACATTTAGTATAAAAACTCCAGCAGGCTGGGTCTAGTCATACAGATAACAATAGCATAATAGTCAAGGTATCATTGAAGGACCAGCCAAAATAGAATAAATAAATAAATAAAAAATAAATTTACAAACAATAAATTCCTTATTATAGATAAGGAATGTAAGTAGTATTTTGAGAATTCTCAGAGGTAATGTCAAAAGTAATAGCTTTGAATGCCCAAGAAACAGTAAGCTAAGTAAAGGAAGTCAAATGAATGTTCTTTTTGAACAAAGACTTAGAGTCAACAGTGAATAGAAGAGGGATAAACACTGACACAATTATCAAATAACATCTGGAGATATAAACTAAATAAAAACACCTCAGATCTGCACAAAGAAGGCCGGGTTACTATTGGCCTCAACCGCAAAACTGAAAAAGCAATATATGGTATTTTATTTGAAAACAGGAGAGAAAGTACATCAAAGCCACCATACAGAGAGACCTACATCTCATGTTTATAAAGTAAAGCCATTTGGACAAATTCTGACCAAAGATCTGCTTATTTCCCACTTCAGCATTCTGGGAGCAGGCTAAAGAATACTTTCAAAATACTTTTTTTTACAAAGATAGCCAATGACTCCACATAAGATGTGAAATACTGTCCTTTTGGAGGAATCTATGTTTCTTTAGAAAGGTTTCAGAAACCTTTGAAAGAAATACAGAAACAAAATCCCCCAACATCAAACAAGAGAAAACACATCACAAAATACTAAAATAGTCATCTTTGTTTCTTGGAATGATGTTGTTTTCATGTTTCAAATTAAGCCAAATATTACAATTTTTTAAATGTTCTTCCCTAACCTTCAAATATCACAATGAGGCTTCCTTTCCCCTCTCCCTTCTGAACCCACTGAAGCCACACTATACTCCCCTCCCATCACCTGAAAACACACACACACACACACACACACACACACACGAAAGGGAAGGAGTCTTACCAGACCATCACAGTTGCTAATGGCAACAGAGGTTCCTGGAACATCCATGATATCGCCAACATAAGCACAGTTAGTATGCAAAGGCTCTGTTTTCCAGATTCTTTCTGAAGCACTTCCTGGTTGGTGGTCATTAATGGGGTCGGTTGTATTCCCAGGCACCAGAGGTGTCTCGTGCCATTCCACGAGAGCTCCAGGAGCTATCAGCTGAGTGTTGGGCTTCAGTCGCAGATGAAAATCTCTTCCAAATGCTGTGATGTTAAAGAACAATTGCTCAGGGTTGGAAGACACATCCCTCGTTGACCTCTTTTTGTGATTTGCAGAAAGAATATGGGAGAGATAGTGTCCTTCTAGGTTTGTGCTGACTGGAGTCACCAGCTCATACTCTCTATGTCTCTTTATTGGTAAATCTGTGGGGTGAAAAATAGAATTGTAGAACCCTGTGCAACAAGAGACCACAGGAGGACATAACATAGGCATAAATTGCCCACCTCATAAAACTGTATCATGACTTGCATTAAAAAATATGTTCTTGGATCACCTCATAAATACTAAGTTTTGAGAACACAGTTCATTTCGCAAATGCATTCAGATAACTCCATGATTTTTTCTGTAAATTCTATATTACATTGTGTACCTACATGCTTAAAAACATGAACATATAATTTCTATATCTGGCTTCCTTAAAATCAAGACACATCCCCAATTAACTTGTTATAAACATAACTAACATCTGCCACAAACTTTTAACAAATTTGTTACCACGTAGAAGTTTTTTCTTATTATTTTCATTTCCTCCATGTAAAAATTTTAAGACTTAGACTAATCACAATAGCACTTTAAAGTGCTTCTGCTATGAAACCTGAAGTTTATACACCATAATTTATAGTTTATGGTTTATACACATTTTTTTCTGCATAACAAACCACACTTTACAGGGGAGAAAACAAATTAAGTAACAGAGGAAGACTTTGCACCCAAGGTCAAACTGTGAAGGTCAGATACAACTCCAAAGCCCACAGAGCCGTTTTGCTGTATCAGTGTATCCCTGTATCTTGCCCCGTAATGGGGCAAGAATGAGGGGAGAAAAGAAGAAGTAATAGTATATAAATTGAACATGGATATACTGGTTATTCAAGAAGGAATAGTCTCATTTTACCCTGTACTCCTTACATGAGACAGATGACCATGTGAATATGAACATATATAGAAGCCCATCTTACATTATGGGTGGCCACTTAGATGTTAAACTGAGTTCCTCAATTAGCACTTATTTCCCCTGTCTTAGCCAAATATGAATATCGTGTCTACTAAAACACAATCATCAGAGAGGTAAGACATTAAGCCATTTTTCACTCCAAGCAATGCTTCTAAGACCAAAGGAGAAGCACATACTAGAGAAGGAAACAAATAAGGCGAAAAGAGAGCAGGGAAAGGAAAATCTAAAACCATGAATTTTAAAAGTTCCTCATTTTCATAAGTCTAGCTTCAAACTAGTCCTGTAGTACGTTGAAGTACCCTGAAAAATTATGAGAATCAAATACTGCTCATCTATAGAAACTGCATGTTTTGTCACCCAAAAAAAGTATTAAAGCATGAGATCCATAAATGAATTTATGACCTGCACTCTTAAGGTATCCTTATAGAATCACTGCGTTCTCAAGCAGTGTGTAAAGTAGGGGAAGGCAAATGAAGATGTTTGCCAGCAAGAAATTCTGTATGCATGCTTGCTATTATGATGTCATCTGCAATGCCCAAGCATCTCTATTAATAAAATGTCCATGGCATGCAACTCTTGTAAATACGCACTAGGCAGACAGGAGGGTTCGCGCAGTAACGGAGTCACGTGGTGCCTGAGCGGCACGATTCCCGAGTGCCAGTACAGACACAAAAGTCTGGACTCCCATACAAACAGACCCCTGTAAACATTGTTGTAAAGTCTGCTTTAGACTAAGAAATCTAAATTTGGGAAATGAACACAAATGTCCCGCAAGCACAGTGATGGATGGAACATTTCCACAACAAGGGATAAATCAAAGCCTTGAGTGTGGGTCTGCAAAGCCCATCCCAATTAACTATGAATTCCTGAAGTCAAAGAACTCTCCCATCCAATGCGATACTGCCAATGTTACCTAATTCAAGATTTTGTATGTTCTAGGGCTTCCTGATGGTTGAATCTGTTGAATGAGTATTAAGTCAGGAATGCAGGTAATGGGAGAACATTTACTTTGTCTGTGCTGCTACACATGCTGACTTACATGAGACTACTCGAGGTCCATGGGTGTCTGTCTATACCAAAAATCTCAATTATAACTCTCTCTCTCCAATCACTGGCTTACTGTCTCAAGGGAAGAAAGAAATAATCCTTATTTTCAGTGTGTGGATTCCCCACCTCCACTGAAGGGGATTCACCCAATCGAAGTCTAGACAATATCCTGATGCCTGGATTAAGTGACTGGAGAATCGACAATTTGGAAGATTGCAGAGACTCTTCCACACCCTGGAGGATTCCCAAAGCCTCATGCTTACAGCAAATCACACATCCTTGGCTCTCTAGTACAATTCCATTTTCCAATGTCAGACAGCATGTTCTGAAATTTTATTCAAAATAAGAATAGTGAATTTCTATAAATGACAATGAATAAATCATTCCTAAAATGTGCATATAAGAGACATTTTTTACATTAAACCCTGAAGGAGACATTTTCCAGGTGAGAATTAAGGTGATCAGGAAAGAACAACCCCTTAGACTACCATCTCCAGGAGGGTAATTAAGGGAAATGAAAAACTTCCCAGTCACCTGCCACTTGCTAGCAAATTAAGTACCAGTCTCTGCAACCTATGCTTGAGAAATTATCGTTTCCAATAGTCATAACAATCACAGTTGGTATTTTCAGCCCCATTTACCAGTAGTAAAAAGTAGACCTTAAATGTCTAGAAGGCCTGATGCACAGTAAACACGGAGATAAAGGGAAAAAAAATCTCAATCCTGACCATTTTGACACAGAAGACCTCGTTCTCGTACACTTCAGTGTGGATGGAACTTCTATGCCATCAATTTCTAAACTGAGATCTGACATATACAGGGAACCCCCAAGAATGATGACATTCTACTTACCCACAGTCAGTCAACAGATTCTCCCCCAGTGCAGCTTTAATAATTTCCTTAAAATGCTCTTAAATTTTGGGTCTGTGGAGGTTGGGCAATAATGGGTAGTAGCTCAAAGCTATCTAAAGTACATTAACCTCAGATTATAATCAGCAAGTCAGATTATAACCAGTGTTTATTTACTGCATTCAGAAAGTACACATTTTACAGGCCCAACTACTTCCACAAAGCAGTACAGCCCAAGGTGAAGAAAGAACCTAACATAGTGTCATACAGCAGTGAGTCGACTTAACAACCTTGAACAAGTAATTTATTTTCTCAGAGGCTGTTTCCTCAGTTGTTAACTGGAGATCAGTAACTTCCAACTTCATAGATTTGGTAAGAGGTTAAAATGAGACTCTACAAAGGAGTCCATAAATATCAGGTACTGCTAATGTTAAGTGTACTAGTTACTTATTAAAATAATGCCATGTTCAATTTTTCAATTAGAAACTACACTATCATCAGCCAAGGAGCTGCAACAATTTAAATTGCACACAGAGAGCAGGAACCACTGAAACACCCTACTGTTGGTCACTAATTACACAAGAAATGATTTTTCCACAACCCACTGGCATCTGTGAACATGCAGTCCAAGACTGACATCTAAACCAAAAGCCAACCTTCCTCTTGTGAATGAAATTCCAGCCCATCCTGACTCTTCAAGAATGGTCTCAGCAACTGCCCTCTCTCTTGCCTCATCAAGTTTCTCGCAATGCTGGGTAACTCCCACCAGCAAATAAAGTTGCTATTCTATCTCCCACCTTTTTAATCAAAAACCTTCTGGTAGCCACATCCCCTTCTGGCTAATACCCCATTCCTTCACTCCCCTTGCGAGCAAAACACTTCAAATGATTGATTATAATAGCTGCTTCTAAATCCTCTCCTCCAGTTCTTGTTCTTTCTTCAGCCTATTTCAATCAGGCTCTTGTAAGGTCACTAGGAACCACAAGTTGCCAAAGACAATAGTCAGCTTCCATGTTTTCACTTGCTCCGAGGCAGCATCTGAGTCAGTTTCTCTTTCCCTCTTGAAAGCATTGCTTTATTTAGCTTCTAAGACATCATTCTCTTCCAGCTCTCCCCTTGACACAGTGCTCTCACTTTCTCATATCCCATCCTCAAGTCCCTTTGTTTGCACAGCCTGTAAACATGAAAGCTGCACAGTACCTGGCCCGTGAACTCCTCCCCTCTGCATCCATCTAACCCTGGAGCCTCGTGAGATCATTGTGTCCAGTGACGATGCTTTCCTAGCCATATACCTCTACCCAAGGTTTTATCTGAGAGCTCTTCTCTTAGAAATCCCAATGCCTATGGATCCTCTCCTAGTGGATATTCACTGGGCATCTCAACACCTCCAAAAGTGAACTCTCGAGCTTCCTACTCCCAAATCTGTTCTTCCTTTCACACATCAGTAACTGGCAACTCTATCCTTCCAGATACCCAGACCAAAAACTTGGCTGAATCACCTTGAGCTCTCCACACACCATAAACGCAATCTTTTACCAAAGTCTATTTATTCTACCTTCAAAAGACACCCAGTCTCTGACTCCGCACCACCCTACCTGCTTCCATCCTAGTCTAAGCCCCACCATCAGTTTTCAATGCACTTCCTAACCATTCTCCTTGCTTCTGCTCTTACCCATTGCAGGTTATCCTCAAACCAGGGCCAGCACAAGCCAAGAGCCATATCATGTCACTCACCCTCCAACCCATCCCACTCAAGTAAAATGATTCACAAGGTCTTGGCAGCTCAAAGCTGGGAATTCTAACATCTCAGGAGTTCTATATTTCCTACTTTCTCCACCAAAGCTTCTTTCTCCATCATCTACATGGCTCACTCCCTTGATTCCTCCAGATCTTCGCTCAAATATAACCCTCCTAGTGAGCTCCTTCCTGATCACTGACAACAAATCATCCTCTTTCCATGTGTTACCCTTCTCCACAAATCCTGTTTCCATTTATCTCCATTTATGTGTGCATTTACTTGTATATTAATCATTCATGCCTACAGTAGAAACTTCATGAGAACTGAGATTTTTTTTCTCTTCTCTTCATTACAGTCCCTTCTACATAAAACAGAACCTGAAGTCACTGAATAAATATCAATGATTGAAAGAATGAGAGTAGTTTTAGCCTCAAGGGATATCTGAAACTAGCATACATCCTCTTCTCCCTAAATGATAATATTACCACCAAGCCATCGCTGACAGCACACTGCACACACTATCGTGTGCCTCTGAAGCCAGAATTTTGTTTGCAAAA